CCGCCTGAGGCCCCCTACTTCCCTCTGGATCTCGGATCTCAGATCTCGGGTTTCCAGGCTTAAAGTCTGGAACTATGGAAACGTCAAAATCTGCACTGAATGAAGAGCTGGTCTGGGAGGGAGGCCGGTGGGGGCCTCTGCTGAGTCAGGAGGCCTGGCCCTTGGGGGGCAGAGCCCACCTTCCCTGGTCCCGGCCCTGCCCCCTGCCCGCCCGCCAGCCTGGGGAGGCCCCTGTGTATAGGGTGCGATCCAGTCCCCACTGGATCCCCTCCCCCAGTCCCTGCTGAAGCCTCCCAGGAGCAGGTGGCCAGCATGCGGGGACGTGAACATTTATGATGCTGGGACTGTGAAAGAGAGCCCCCCCCCACCCCTGTGCTGAGTCCACCACCTGGGGGCTGAGGGAGGGGCCGCCCGAGGCCCTGCCCCCTCAGGTGCCGACAAGCCCCCCACCCCCAGCAGGTGCGCCTGCCTTGAGTATTGTAGGGTTTGCCAGGCTGACCACAGACTAGGCGACTTTAACCACAGACATCGATTTTTCCACCATCCTGGAGGCCAGAAGTCCGGAGGGTCAGCTCCTTCTGAGGGTCCCGAGGGAAGGGTCTGTCCAGGCACCTCTCCTTGGCTTGCAGTTGGTTCTCTGGGCCCTATGGCTCTTCAGGTCCTCTTCCTTTGATGTGTGTCTGTATCCACACTTCACCTTTCCAGAAGGACACCTGGGTCATCCCGGATTTAGGGCCGACGCCACTCCAGTGTGACCTCGTCTTAACTTCGGTATCTCAGCAATGACCCTGCCTCCAAATAAAGTCACGCTCTGAGGTTCTGGGGGTTAGGACCTCAACATTTGAATTTGGGGAGGACACGGTTCACCCCATACCAGGTGCACATTGGCTCAGCCAGTCTGCTTTTGGTTCGCTCATCCGCTCGGAAGGCAGGGGTGGCAGCCTGGGTGTCAGGAGCCTGGGTTCTGGGAGCAGAGAGCTCTCAGTCTGGCCAGCTCTCTGCTTGGCTGTGCAGTTTTGGGACATTAATGGTGTGATTCTCATTACAGTGGAGGGATCTTGGAGTGTCTGGGGAAAATGTGTGCAAAGCACTTAGCACGGCGCCTGGTACACACAGAGCTCCCCCAAAGGCAGCTTTATTCGGAAACATTCCCCGGGCGCACGCGGGGCACCAGCCAGGATGACATTTAGGGGTGCGTTGGAGGCTACACAGGGGCCGGGGACAGCATGTGCTCACAGAGGGGGCCCAGACGGCTCGCCCCATGGCCATCTTGGGCCCGTGCTCTAGAGATTCCGGGAGTGAGAACAGGAGGGAAAGTCCCTGAGCTCTCCTCCCAACCCTGCATTTTCACAAGAACCGCCCCCTCCCCGGAGATTCTGAGCTGAGAACTGCTGCCCACAGCCTGCCTCTCACCCCACAGCCTTGCTCACACTTTTCTCTAGAATGCTCCCCTCCCCTCACATGTCTCTGCCAACCCCTGCTGATCCTTTAAGACTTGGTGCTGGCACCACCTCCTCCAGAAAGCCTTCCTGTAGTTGTACCATCGCTTCTGACTGCTTCCTGCCTAGTCAGATGTGGGGAAACCTCATCTCACTTTCTCTCTCCCTGGGCCTCGCTTACTGGCTCGTACCTAGAAGCTTCCCCTGCCCTGCACGCCCTCTGCTGCTCTCTGGGGTGGTAGTCCAGAGCCCCCTTCACCCAACCCTCCCTGGCTCAGCTCCAGTTCACCTGGCCGAGGGGCACAAGGCCCTCATTGTATGGCAGAGTGGACAGGGATGGGGGTGATGCTCGGGAGGTGGGGCGTGGGCTGGGGACCCAGGCAGATGGAGACCCAGACAAAGACCTCTTTAAGAGGGGTCACGGCAGCTGTGCGGACAGTGTACTGATTCAGGAGCCTGGATATCAAAGGAGCCCAATGTCCAGGGTGCCGTGAACTTGGCAGTGCGTGGAGGTTGTTTGAAGGTGATCCGGGGTGATGAGCATTGGTGTGTGCTGCTCACCCTCCCCTGTACCCAAGGTCCCCAGAGGGGGCCCCCCCAACTGCCAGCCCTGCCCGCGTGAGCAGGAGCGCTGGCGCCCGAGGGGTGAGAGCTGGATCGGCTGGTCGGGCTCCTGTTGCATCCCACCGGGACCCGTGCCAGGGGACTCGGAGGCAGCGTTATCTTCGTTGGGGTCTGAAACTTAATCAGGGCTTATGCTGCTGGCTTTAGGGCCAGAGACAGGAACTGGATCCTGGAGGAGGCACTGGGACTGCAGCCCTGAGGCAGTGGCAGGGACAGGTGGGCACCCCAGCTGACAGCGGCAGGCCTAGATGCCCTGCACTCAGCTCACGGGGGCCACCCAGCCTCTGGCAAGCGGTGAGGGGGCCCAGTGGGTGGCCTTATTCTTTCCCTGCACAAAGCCCCTACCAAGCCGTCTGGAGCCGTGCCCCCTAACAGGTTTACCTGAAATTACCAGGTTGGACGACACTTCCAGGTGAAACTCCTGGGGCCAGGCCTCCTGGGCCAGGCCTCCCTTCTCTCTTCCCTTTTCTATGAGACTCCCCGGAGTGGGCTCTGCTGGGACCCCGAGGGTCTTGGGCCGCTCTACATGCAGCGAGCATGAGTGTGTACCTACTGCACGCATCCAAGTCATGAAGGAGGGGGCTAGACATCGGCACTCACCAAGTGCCAAGAGGAGTCCGTGGGAGTCCCAAGCTGGGACCCTGCCCAGGGGTGTGCCTCTTGCTCGAAAGGGGTGCATCCAGAGGGATCCACTGTGGATCTCCCACCCCCACAGAGCCGGGCTGGGCTCCAGGCTGGCCTCCTGCTGCCTCGCCGTCCATCAGTCCCCTCTGTCCCTCAGGCTGACTGCCCCTCATGCCTTGTCTGTTCTCAAGCCCTTTACAGGGCTGTCCCTGACCCCAGCTCCCCTGCTGGCCCAGGAAGGGAGCTCAGTCGCTATCTGTGCCACCTGGGGTGGCGCTGGGACAGCACATCCTCCTCAATGCCTGACCCTCTGCTAGGACTCCGTTTGCTTCTTTGGTCAGCATCTCATCTCCAGAGTTGGATTAGGTAGGGACAATGCACACAGTGGGTGCTGACACCACACTTGGGTGGGGGTACACCCTCCTACTGCCACACCCACCCCGCACGGCCCCCCTGTTTCTTAGCTATGTGACTTTGGGCCTCGGTGTTCCCATCTGGGGATAATGAATTCCTGTGAAAGGGCTCCGTGAAGATGAGCTATCATTATCAAGGATCTTGGAGGAGGATCCCCTCTCCTCCCCTGGAGGAGGGGCTGGGTGTGAAGACACCCACTCCCTCTGTCCTTACCCTCTGCGCTCCCACTGGGAGTGGAGGGCACCATGAGGCCATCATGCTGGCTGCGACCACCGTCCGGCCCAGGAACACAGCAGAGACTTGATTTGCCCTCGCTGTCCAGCATGGGCCCAGGTGCTCCCAAACACAGAGCTGCCTCTCGGGGGGCATCCCGATGGGACGGCTGGGGCGGAGGACAGGGACCCGACCTGGAGGCTCATCTCCCGAGGGGACTTGGGCAGGCGCAGAGCCTGTGGCATCCTGGTGGCCCCCTCCTCCGTGGGGGTGGGGTGGCCCGTCACCCGCATCACCGCCGCTGTTCCTCCTCACTTCCCTGTGAATGAAGACCTTTGGGCATTTAATATATGCCCGGTGTTGTGCCCACACACACCACACACGTTATCTCACGGGCTCTTCATAGCCCTGTGGGCAGATAATACTCCTGTCCCATCTGGCGGAGGAGGAGACCCAGGCCCAAGCAGGTTAAAGGGGTCACACAAGGCCACTCTGCTAACAAGAGTACAATGGTCAGGCGTACCTTGCCCTGACTTAGCTCTCCCACCCTGTCCTAAATCCCCCCGACTCCAGCCCTCCCACACATCTTTGAACACCTTCTGGCGTTTTCACCCATCTGGGCACTGTCTCTCCCCACAATTTCCCCAGGCCAAGAACCTCAAGCCAAGGCCCAGCCTCCTTCCTCTGCACCTTCCCTCAGTCCGGGACCAGGCTCAGCACACCCAGGACCCCCGGGCCAAGGGAGGGGCAGAATGGAGCTGGACGTGGAGCAGGCTTCGAGTTTGTTCTGGAAAATGGGTCCCTTGATCATCCTTGGAGCACAGGAAGAGCCTAGGGAAGCCCCACACACAAGCACACGGAGCCAGAGGCCCCCACCCCGCAGGGAGGGGAGCCCAGGATGGCCAACCTGTTCCGTCATCCTACCTTCCAACCCCTGGCCCCTCCTTCCATCCACAGCTCAGGCTCAAGGCTGCAGGGGCCTTGATAAGTCAGCCCAGCCCACTTTCCTCGCCCCTGCCAGCCCGCAGTCAGTGTCTCTGCTCCACCCCTGGGTCTACCCACTGGCGGAGGCTGGGGTGCGGGGGTGAGGCAGACCAGGGGCTACAGACTTTGAACCCAGATCCCAGGTTTTCAGTCCCAGTTCCCCTGCTTGCTGGTATGTGAGCTCGAACAAGTGACTTCTTTGGGCCTCGATCTCCTCACCTGTCAAGTGGGAACAATTATGGGCCTTACCACCTTGCCTTGGAGTGGGGGGTTAAGTGAGTCCATGTGTCGAAAGTGCTTACAGCAGGTCCTGACACACAGTAAATGCGTCATAAATGCAAGCCATTGGTACTGTTCCTGCCCCTCTGGTAGAGGTGCACAGGGCATGGTGTTGCCTTTAGAGGGAGGGCCCTCCCCCCCAAGTCTGGGTCCCATGTGGCCTGGGGTGCCATGGCACTCTCGGCTCCTGTAGGGCATTGTCAGTCGATAGGGAGGCTTCCCTGTGGGGTGTCCAGAGCCAAGCCCCAGATCAGACACCCCAGCGGAGCTGACGGGGCAGGGCTGGGCCTGGGGCTCAGGGGCCTGCGGCTGCTTAGCTTGCCCCATGTCCTGGGTGAGGAGAGCTGAGGCCAGAGTTGACATCGGTGTGGGCCTCTGGCCCCCTGATGACTGCCAGACGCCCCCCCTCGGGGACTTTTGCAGATGGTGGTTCTCATGGACCCGATGGAGGACCCCGATGATGTCCTGCGGGCACACCGTTCCCGAGAGAAGTCCTACCTGTTTGACGTGGCCTTTGACTTCACTGCCACCCAGGTGGGGGAGGGCCTGGCCCTAGGGACATGCAGGAGCCCCTCTCCAACCTTTGACCCCCACCCTGAGGAGAGAGCCCTCAGGGGACCCTGCCACTGACCCTCAGCCCTTCTTCCACCATGAGCTCGCTGGCTTTCCCCTCTACCACATCCTCATGCATGCAAATGTGCCTCTATGGCTTACACCCAGCCTCTTGCACGGGCACACCCGAGACAGTGGGCAGACGCTATCCGTGTGGCACACCCCCAGGCTGGCCCCCATGGGAGCTAGAGGAGGGCGCGTGAAGCCCATCTGGTGTGGGGAGGAGTCTTGGGGAAGCTGACACCCTCCCAGGGACCCCTGTCTTCCCCATCTGGGGGATGCTCCTAGGAGCAGATGCGATGCATCCTCGGGGTGGGGGGCTGGGAGCCAGTTGTGGGGGCAGGTGTCTCAGGTGTCCTGAGCTCTTTTCAGGCTGGTGTCCCCCATGGGGCGAAAGCAGAGACCCCCAGCCCCCATTCCTTGCCCCTACTCCTCGGGCTGAGAGCCCCAGAAACAGAAGCCGCTTATGCTGGGGGCCAGGACGGCCCGTGGGCATGTGTGCTCCGCCCCACATGTACCCGAGGCCCCTGACGGGTGTGCTCTTCCTGGCAGGAGACGGTCTATCAGGCCACTACCAAGAGCCTCATCGACGGTGTCATCTCCGGCTACAATGCCACTGTCTTTGCTTATGGCCCCACAGGTGAGGGAGGGGCCAAGACCGTGGGATGGGACGGTATGCCCCATTTGTCCCCCTGGAGCAACAGGCCCCTGACCCTCCATCAGAGAACTGCTCTGGCCCCAGCTGAGGCCAGAATCAAGCGTGTATCTGATCCCAACGCCCGCAGGGTCCTCTGGCCCCAGAGGCCCCATCACCAGCCAAAAAAGCCATCCTCCCTGCCCCCTCCTTCCTTGGCCATTTGGGAGGTACACAACCTTGAGGCCAGACCTAGGTGTGCCAGGAGCTCCTGTCCAGCAAAGCCACGATTCTCGCTCCCACCCTGCTCACCCCCCACCGTGTTCTGCCCCAGGCTGTGGGAAAACCTACACCATGCTGGGCACAGACCATGAGCCTGGCATCTACGTTCGGACCCTCAATGACCTCTTCCGTGCCATTGAGGAGACCAGCAACGACATGGAGTATGAGGTGTCCATGTCCTACCTGGAGGTGAGCCTCCCCTGACCGCAGCGTAGGCAAGAAGCCCCTGGGACAGCCGCACACACGTTGTTGGTCCCACTCTGCAAAAACTGAGGCTCAGAGAGGTTACACTAGGTCAACATCACACAGTAAGTGAGGGGGCAGGGATTCAAACTCAGGACCCCAGACCTCGAAAGCCAAGCCCTGCCTATTTTGCCACACTTCAAAGTACACTTGACCTTGAGCAAAGACCTCGGCCACCCTCCCAAACGGCTCAGCACCTAGCTATCCTCAAGGGCCCCTTCCTGAAAGCTGTGTCTGCCCTGCCCCGCCACCTCCAGGCACTCTGTGGGCATGGGTACAGGTAAGACCTGCATGCGTGCACAGGCCTGAACCTGCCAGCCTTTGATCCCCAGCCTCAGCCCCCAGCGCCCACCCCGTGGGAGTGCTCCCACCAGGCAGCGAGGAGGCATTGGCAGTAGGAGCGTGCAGAGGCAGAAGAGCCATTGGGCTGCATGCCACCCGGCTCCTGGCTGCCCCCGCGCCGTGCGGGAGCTGATAATCTCCTGGGTGACAGCTCAGGAAGGGCAGTGAGGCGTTGCCGCTAGCCGCACTACTGCAGCCAGCGCGGCATTGACTCAGCCCGCAAGATGCACTTGTGGGGGGTGGTGTAGCCTAAGGGTTGCCTAGCAACAAGCAGGGCTGGCCATCCGTCAGGTCCCTATCTTCTGCCCAGTGCCCAGCCCTCCTGCAAAGGGATCCCACTTGGCTCTGAAGCTTTCTGTATCCCAAGTTCTGGCAGCCCAGTGTTTCCCTGTGGATGCTGAAGCCCCATTACCCCCACCCAATAGAAAGGAGGGGGTCTTTCTCCTTAACCAGAGTTTCCCTGAGAGGATTCTGGAGCTCCCAGGCTGGAGCTCAGAATGTGGGAGCTCCTGTCCCCGTCTTGCCTGGGAGGGATGGGGAATCTGGTCCCTGTCTGGACCTCCTGCCCTTAATCTCCCCGTCACACCTGTCCCCTGCCCCTCCCCCACTGGCACCATCAGATCTACAATGAGATGATCCGGGACCTGCTGAACCCTGCCCTGGGGTACCTAGAGCTGAGGGAGGACTCCAAAGGGGTGATCCAGGTGGCTGGAATCACCGAGGTCTCCACCATCAACGCCAAAGAGGCAAGTCTTGCACAGCCATCGGGGCAGTGGAGAGGACCACTCACCCCTGTGGGGCAGGAGGGGACAGAGGACGGCAGGCAGGGAGCCGCTGCCCGCTCGGCTGGGGCTAGAGCTGGGACAGACACAGAGAGTCCCGTATCCAAGCAGGGGGCTCTCACCTGCCTCCGTGCCCCTGGCTGCACTCACCTCGGGGGGACGAATGAGGCAACTGGCCTCCAGACTGCCCCTCACTCCACCCGGGCCCCTTCCCAACCTCCAAGATGTGGGATGTGGGGGCAACCCCATGGATCCCCAAGAGAGGCATCCTTCCCCCCCCCCCCACCCAGATCATGCAGCTGCTGATGAAGGGCAACCGGCAGAGGACCCAGGAGCCCACGGCTGCCAACCGGACGTCCTCCCGCTCCCACGCTGTGCTCCAGGTGGCCGTGCGCCAGCGCAGCCGGGTCAAGGACATCCTGCAGGAGGTGCGGCAGGGCCGCCTGTTCATGATCGACCTGGCTGGCTCTGAGCGCGCCTCCCAGGTGAGGTCAGCTCCCCCAGCACTGGGGAGAACGGTTTCTGGGGGCTGGGGAGAGCGCAGGGATGCTGACCTCCCCGCGTCCGCAGGAGATCACGGGGGAGGCCATCCTCGGCAGGGTGGGGATGAGGGGGCCCCCCTCGGTCAGGGACTGAGGAGTGTCCCAGAGGAGCATGACGGGAAGAGGGGGTGGGGTATCCCAGCTCTCTGTGGGAAAGGGCGTGGGGTGAGGAGTGTTTCTCTGGGAAGGAGACGGGCTGCCCTGGAGGAGGGCCAGGAGGTGAGAGTGAATGGGCCCAGATGAGGAGCTGGGATGGGGGACACAGATGCCCCCTGACTCGGGGAGGCCCTGCCTACCCCATCGAGGAGAGAGGAAAGCCCATCACCATCTCTCAGAGCATTTGTCCCCAACACTGAGACCTGCTCCCCTGACTCTACGGTCTCGGCCCCAGTGTGTAGGCCCAGGTCCCCCTCCTTCAGGCCAATTGGGAGGTTTCACGGTCCCCCAATTGATGAAGCCAGGTGATGTCACTGCTAACAAATCCAGGGGACAGGCCAGTGGCCAGAGAGAATTAACAGGGTTTCATGTTCGAGCCTGAGACTGGGATTCAGTGGGGCGGGGGGTGTTCAAGAAGCACCCCCTTCTCCCCTGGGAGGGCCTGAGGGCTTCTTGGAGGGACATAGTGGAGCAGCCAGGGAGAGGGGTGTCCCCCGAGGCCCCAGCTTTGGAGGCCCAGGCCCAGGCAGCTCTGAGCAGAGCCTCCTCACCCTTGCCAGTGTCCCTGCAGGCCCAAGGGAATGAGAGGAGCCCAGCACACTCACACGTGCACGCTAGTGCGCTCCCACACCCTTCTCCCTACACACTCACTCACGCACACATTCTTTCTTCCACACACGCACCACACTCATTGCCTCACGTTCTCTCTCTCTCACACACACACACACTTTCCTCATATTCTTTCCCTCACATTCTTTCTCTCTTCCCCCGCACCCCGAACACTTCTCACATATTCTCACACACACAGACACACACACACACGCACTTCCCTCCTTCCCCTGGAGCCCAGGGCACGCTGTGGAGCCACATGCCCGTGCTCACGCCAGCTTTCAGCTGCCTGGGAGGCCTCAACCTCCTTCCACGTCATTCTTGGCGCCGTGGGGCCAGCCCCTGAGGGAGACAAGGGCCAGGCTCTCAGCCCTCCTCAGAAGCAGTCCGTCACTCTCTTCAGACGCCTTCTGGCGCTCTCACCTTCTCGAATGCCCTGGATGACCCCGGGAGGAGGACGAGCCTCGGCCCTGGGTCACCCCCACGTTTCAGAGCCCGGAGGGAGGGGGAAGGGCTCGGGGCCCAGGGCGGTGGTCAAGCCTGTGCCCTGCCCCACAAGGCCGCTTCTGCCACCGCTCCCCCCCCACCCCCAGACGCAGAACCGCGGGCAGCGCATGAAGGAGGGCGCCCACATCAACCGCTCCCTGCTGGCCCTGGGCAACTGCATCAACGCGCTGAGCGACAAGAGCAGCAACAAGTACATCAACTACCGCGACAGCAAGCTCACCCGGCTGCTGAAGGTAGCCCCAGGCCGCCGGGCCCCGCACCCCTGAGGGGGGCTGTCAGATGGGGCAGATCAAAAGACAGGCCACCAGGGGCGCCTGGGTGGCTCAGTCGGGTCAGCCCATGACCTCGGGGTCCTGGGATCGAGCCCTGCATGGGGCTCCCTGCTCAGTGGGGGGCCTGCTTCTCCCTCTCCCTCGGTCCCTCCCCCCCAACGCCGCTCGTGCTCTCTCCCTCCTTCCCTCTCTCTCAAATAGATAAATAAAATCTTTAAAAACACGTACAGACCACCCAGCTACATCAGAATTTCAGATAAACAACAAAATTTGTTTTAGTGTAAGTATGTCCCATGCAACATTTGGGACATCCTTATACTTAAAAAAAAAAAAATCTTTCATTGTATATCTGACATTCAGATTTAACTGAGTAACCCGTATTTTACTTGGTGAGCCCAGCCAGAGTGGGCAACAGGGAGGGAAAGGCGCTGCACCTGACACCCCCTGCCCTGGGGCTGCAGGGCTGAGGGAACTAAGAGCCACCTGGATTTGGGGTTCCGGTGGACATCAGCCTCAGGGCTCACAGTGTCTGCCATTTGCGGTCCACCCCTGGCTGGGCCTCACCCAACTAGCTCCTTTCTTCCTGAAGCAACCCCAGGCATGGGGGGAACACTGTTTCCATTTATGAGCAAACTTCCCAAGGGCCCACGGCAGTAGGTGCTGGAAGGCAGAGTCTGTGGTCCAGGATAAGTGCAGTGTCACCCGAGCCCACCCTCAGCTGGCCGCCATTAGTGTGCCCATAAGCTGGGGGGTGGGGGGGACGGTGGCGCAAATGCTGCCGTTTTTAAGAGCAAAAGGAATTCAAGTCACTCTGTTGCTAATCATGGGGGCCGAGGCTTTCTCCCCACTCCCCTTCCCTGCATCCAGTGGAACAAGGGAAGGGGTGGCCACAGGCCACATTCATCCGTCATACAGTGGTCCCCGTTCCCCCATCCCTCACTGCAGCCCTAACAGCAGTGCCATCAGCTTTCAGAAATGGGGAGTCGGGGGGTTACTTGAGATGCCAGAGGGGATGGGACAAGGGGGAGCCCATAGGGCACCTTCCCACCCTGGTTCCCAGCCACCACGGCGGCTGCCTTTCCTCGTTCTCTGGTATGAGAGGAGGAAAAGGGAAAGCCGGGAGGCCCTGACCGGGATCAGATACTTGAAATATTGAAATGGAAATTTGGAAAAGAAACCACAAGTGGGAAGAAGTAACAGAAGGAGGGGGGATATCTGGACCCAGGGGAGTCCGTGTGATGCTCGACACCAGCACCAGAGTGAATGTGTCTGTGAGTGTGCGTGTGACAGAGGGAGCGAGAGAGCACAGCCTGGCAGGGGCGGCAGGGTGCCAGGGAGGTGGTCGCTGGCTGACTGCAGCCCGCCCTCCCCACCGTCAGGACTCCCTGGGCGGGAACAGCCGCACCGTGATGATCGCCCACATCAGCCCCGCCAGCAGCGCCTTTGAGGAGTCCCGGAATACCCTGACCTATGCCGGCCGGGCCAAGAACATCAAGACCAGGGTGAGGTCCTTTCCTGGGCTGAGACTGAAGTCCCTGGAGGGATCCCTGCCATCCCACACTCCACTCTCTCTGGAGCCGGCCACTGTGGCCCTGGCCTCCATCCCCAGACCCATGTCGCCCCGGGCCCTTCCCAACTCCTTCGCTCTTTGAGCGAGGCCAGACTCCCCACGCTCCCATCTCGCGGTTTAGGGAAGTGAGACTGAAGGACGTGAAGTGACTTCCCAGATGGACACTGAGACCAGAAGTGGCCCTGGCTGGCTTCCGAGCCCATGTTGTCCCCTTCGGGCAAAGGCGTTAGAGTCCCCGTCACCTGATGTAGGAAGCTTCTCTTGACCCGCGTGCGTGCAAGGGTGGGAACAGACGCTCGCCAGATAGAACTGAGGAACCCTCCCGCAACACTGCACTTTGCCAGCCACTGTCCCCGGGGCTTTGTGTGTTATTCCAGCCCTCCAAGAACTTCATGGGAGCAGGAGACATGTCCTTGAATACTGACAGTTCAGAATATTGTTAATAGTCTGGCAAGTGATGCCAACAGTAGGTGCTGAGGCAGCGAGGAAATGGGGAAGTGGGGGAGGGCTGGTGGGACCTGGTGGAGCTCTCTGGGGACTGTCAGTGTGACTGTGGGACAGTGGGACTCTGAAAGATGGGAAGGACACTCTAGAAGGAGGGGGTAGCAATAAGCGTAGAGGTTTCAAGAGCAGGAAGGAGATGGTATCTGATACAGGTGGGGACGACAGGACAGTTCCTCAACCAGAGCAGAATGCTCCTGGTGGAGCAGTGATGAAATGAAAATGGAGAGGGGCGCCTGGGTGGCTCAGTCAGTTAAGCATCCGACTCTTGATTTCAGCTCAGGTCCTGATCTCATGGGTTGTGGGATCGAGCCCTGCCCTGGGCTCCCTGCTCAGCGTGGAGTCTACTTGAGATTCTCTCCCGCTCTCCCTGGGGTCCTCCCCTCGCTCATGCACTCTCTCTCTATCTCTAAAATACATAAAATCTTTTTTAAAAAATGAAATTTGAGATAGTGGTGGGCCCAGGTGAAGGAATGAGAACACTTCTCCTGAGCAGTAGGGAGCCACTGAAGGTTGAAGAGCAGAAGCAGCAGCATGTTAAAAGTATGGGTCCGGCAGAGGCATGGAGTGCGACAGGTTTAGGGGCTGTCATCTAGGAAGACTAGGGGCAGAAGGAGAAAGAAGACCCTGCGGCTGGCCCCAGCCTCTGGGGCGACTCTACCTGCTCTGCCCCCGCGCTGTGCTCCCCACAGGTGAAGCAGAACCTGCTCAACGTCTCCTACCACATCGCCCAGTACACCAGCATCATCGCGGACCTGCGGGGCGAGATCCAGAGGCTCAAGTGCAAGATCGATGAGCAGGGTGGGCGGGGCCATGCCCAGGGCCGGCCGGAGCCGGGTGACATCCGCCACATCCAAGGTGTGTGCGTGGGTCCGTGCTCCTGGGGGCCCATCTCAGGCAGCCCTCCCCGCCTGTCTCAAATTGCTCGGGGGTCAGGTGGTGCCGGGTTCAAATCCAGACTCTGGCTTTTTCTGGGCCAGTAGCCTTGGGTTAATCATTCAACCGCTCTGAACCTTCTTTTTTTCAAGCGTCGTATACAACGGTGGTCTCTGTTTCAGAGACTTAACGTTAACTAAGAGTCGGTGAGATCACACGAGTGAGAGACATGTGAGCACTTAGCTGTGGGGCGGGGGGCACTCTCAGGGCCGTGAGGCTGTGCCCAGCTTCACTGGAACGGGTACCATTCTCTTGTAGATTTGTGTATTTGTTATAGATGGTTTTCCCACAGATGGCAGTAAAGTGTCTAAGGGTCACCTTTTATAGTTGGCATAAAGGTTCTGTAAGGGCTAGTGGATGCCCAGGTCATACAGAGGACCTGGGGATCACCTGTGGACCACACCCAGAAGACTCAGTGTGGAAGTAAGGTGTGGGAGGAAGTAGTAACCTAGGAGATCTTTGGGGTGGTTTGGGAAGACAGGGATGAGGGAGGGCCCCATGGAGGCTCAGATTTGCCTGGCCTGACCCTTCCTCCTCCGCTGATTGCCTCTGCCCCCATCCTCTGGGCAGCCGAGGTCCAACTGCACAGTGGGCAGGGTGAGCAGGCCAAGATGGGACAGCTGCGGGAGCAGCTTCTCAGCGCTTTCCAGGAGCAGATGGATGTGCGGAGACGCCTGCTGGAGCTGGAGAATCACGCCATGGAGGTCCAGATCGACACCTCCCGCCACCTGCTCACTATTGCCGGGTAAGCAGCCCCTGCCCCGGTGCCGTCCAGGTCCCACCCCGGACCTGGACAGAGGGTTTGGGAGCTGTAGCCGCACACTGTGCCCCTGTGGTCTGACTCCCCGTCTCCCTGGGGTGGGCTCACGGCAGCTGGGAGCACGAGAAGTCCCGCAGGGTGCTCAAATGGCGGGAGGAGCAGCGGAAGGAATCCTACACCAAGGATGACAGCGAGAAGGACTCCGACACGGGCGATGACCAGCCGGACACCCTGGAGCCCCCAGAGGTGGCCTCAGCCCGGGAGAGCATTGCCGCCCTGGTCGGGGAGCAGAAGCAGCTGCGGAAGCAGAAGGTGCCTGGGGCTGGGGGCAGGGGGGCAGTTTCAGAAGGGGCTGGGGGTGTGGTGTGGGAGGGTTCAGCCCTGGGAGCTCAGGCCTCAGATCTTCTGTGACCTCGCCCAATTCCCTCTTTGTGGTTCGCTTACTTATCTCTGAAATGGGAGTAGTCGTGGTGTGGTTCTTCGTGGAGTTGTTGGGGACATTAAATCAATGCCTTTTGCATACCAAGGATTCAAATAATGGTGGTCAGTATTTTAATTAGGGCTTTCCAGATCAGGGGTCTTGTCCTGCTCTGGAGCGTAAACCCAGACCAGGGCTTCAGGGCGCGGTGATGAGCCCTGAGGGCATCAAATGGGCTGGAGTGGGGCGGATACCCACAGAGCTGATTGCAGGGGCAGGCTGTGGCCAGGGTGGCAAAGAAGGTGGGCACGGAGGGGTCACTTGGGAGCAGCCTCTGGTTTCAAGGCCCAAGACACAGTTTCGAGGGTTAGCCCCAGAACGGGGCTTCAGCCCGGAGGGAGCTCGGGGGCTGGAAGGGCGCGGACGGCCAGGAGGATGGGTTGGGGGGGTGCAGGACCCACCCCTGGCCTGGTGCTGAGCCCCAGCCGCCCACAGCTGGCGCTTGAGCAGCGCTGCCGGGAGCTGCGCCTGCGCGGCCGGCGCCTGGAGGAGACGCTGCCGCGGCGCATCGGCTCCGAGGAGCAGCGCGAGGTGCTCAGCCTGCTATGCCGCGTGCACGAGCTCGAGGTGGAGAACACGGAAATGCAGTCGCACGCGCTGCTCCGGGACGGCGCGCTCCGCCACCGCCGCGAGGCCGTGCGCCGCCTGGAGCAGCACCGCAGCCTCTGCGACGAGATCATCCAAGGCCAGCGGCAGATCATCGAGGGTAGGCCCTGTGCGTCCGAGACCCCGGGGACCCCCTCCACCCGCGGAGCCTCCCAGGGCACGCCCTGAGCCCTGCCCCTGCCCCGGCAGACTACAACCTGGCCGTCCCGCAGCACCTGGAGGAGCTGTACGAGGTGTACCTCCGGGAGCTGGAGGAGGGCGGCCTGGAGCGGGCCACCATCATGGACCGGGTGGCCTCCAGGGCCCTGCAGGTGGGAGTGTGGGCAAGCCTGGGCCTGGGCAGGAGCGCCTGTACTGATGGGGGGACTGATGCCCCAGGCAAAAACCTGCGGGTAGCTGGGTTGGGGATGGGACCAGGCTGGAGGGCACCCTAAGGAGTTAGCTCCTCTTCCTTCTTATCCCACCCGAAGCTTTGCCTTGCCCGAGTAAGGTGCCCGTCCCAGGGCATTCTTGTCTGGCACTGGTCCTTACCCAGAGTCTGAAGGTCAGGGTTGGCTCTCTGAGCTATCCTAAATGGTCCCAGATGCCCTCCCAGGAGACCAGGCCATCCAGCAGTCCCACTGGGGATGCCTAGCAGACCACAGTTTATCCCCCGTGAGCCGAGCGCAAGCCCACTGCTCTCTCCAAACTCCTAAGCCAGGTTACAGCCCTGGTCACCTGGTGTGCCTGTCATCCCGTGCTGTGACCTGGTCCGGTCCAGAACCAAGTCTTCTGACCGCCCTCCCCTCACCCCCTTCCCTCCCCAGGACAGTTCCTTGCCCAAAATTACCCCGGCAGGAACCGCGCTGACACCGGAGTCTGACCCAGAGAGTGTGAAGACTCTCAGTTCTGAGGTTCAGCGCCTGCAGACCGGCATCCTCCCACCGCTTGGGACAGACAGGTGAGGCCAGTGACTGCCAGCCTGAGCCGCCACCTGCTGGGCCGTATCCCAGGGATGCCAACCCAGACTCAGGTTCCCTGGGGAAGATGGGGCAGGAACGAGAAAGGGAGGTGGTGGCACAAGTCTGGAGCCAGGACGCCTGGGTTCTCCCTTCACACAAATAGCTCTCCCCTGGGGTGGAGCCGGGACCTCAGTGGGACCAGCCAGCTCAATAGCCACCCACCCTCCTCTGCCAACCTCAGTGAAGCCAACCGCGTGTTCAAAGCCAGTCCCCGGGCCTGGCAGGTGAAGAGCTCCTCTGTGCCCACCCCGCCCCCCATCCAGATCGGTGGTCTGGTGACCCAGGAGGTGAGTACTGAGCACCCCTGACCCCCAGGTTCCACAACTGGGGGGGGGTTGTGGAGGGGACACAGGGTACACACCCAAGGGTTGGGATGGAGGATCTCAAAATGACCCTCACCCCTGAGGATCCGCTGTCTCTGCTGAAGAAGACAAGGGGTCCCTGCTGGGTCTAAGACCTTTCTCTTCTCAACCACCTCCCCCGTAGGCCCCCACTCAGGACAGCCTGGTCAGCCCGAGCAGCCGTATCAACTCTTCCCCCGACAGCAGTGAGAATCTGTCAGAGATCCCCTTGTCCTGCAAAGGTGTGCCCCCTGCCAGCCCTGTCAGTGTGAGCGCGGCATCATCTAAACAGTTTGGGTCATCCAGCCCACCTGCCTTAGGTGCGACCCAGTCTGGAAAGAGGCTCCCGTGCCCAGAGGGGATTAACCTCCTGCTCAAGGACACAGGGAGCACTGAGGGCACAATCAGAAGTCAGAATGGGGCGTACGTGACAGTTAGGATCCTGCCCCCCTCTTCCCACCCAGCAATAATTCTAAGAGCAAATACAGGCAGGATCCCTACCCCCTAAGCCCATTTTCTCGATTAATCCTCACAGCAGCCCTGTGGGGTTAGTTTCGCTACCCCACATTCACAGATGAAGGTAAGGGTCCGAAACGTGCCCCAAGTCTCTTGAATAGCAAGTGGGAGTGCCGGAGTTAGGACCCAGGCCCTCTGGATCTGCTCATGTCCTGCCTTGGCAGGAGAAGGGGTGTGGGAGGCAGGAGATTATGTGGCCTGGAGCTCAGGTTGGGTGCTCCTTCTGTCGTGTTCCAGAGAGGAAGGAGATCCTGACCAGTACCAAGTACATCTCCGTGAAGGCTGCTCGGCGGCGCTCTCGGGCTTTGGGCCCCGAGGGGCGCCACCTGCTGGCACCTGCCGGGGAGCGCAGGAGCCTGTCCCCACACTTGCCCAGCGAGGCTGAGTCGCAGCCGCCTGGCCCTCTGGCCTGCAAGCGGCCGCCCAGCCCCACGCTGCAGCACGCTGCCAGTGAGGACAACCTGTCAAGCAGCACAGGCGAGGCCCCATCCCAGGCAGTCGGGCACAGTGGCGATGGCACCGGGCCCTGGATGCGTGGCCAGAAGAAAAGCCCGGGCAAGAAACGGGAGGAGTCACTAGAGGCCAAGAGGAGGAAGCGGCGGTCCCGGTCCTTTGAGGTCACGGGGCAAGGGGTGAGACAAAAGACAAGGGATGGGGTGTCTGCATCCTTTCGTTGTGGATGGGGGCCTGGGGGCTCCTGCACCACCCTCCATGCCTCTGTCTCCCAGGCTGGAATAGGGGGTAAAGGGGGCTGGCATATAGGGCAGACCCCTGTAGCAACACCATACAGCTCTGACTCACCTCCCTGTTCTCCAACCAACACAGCTCTCCCGCTCCAAGACACACCTCCTGGGGTCCCGTCCCACAGAGAGCATCTCGGACCATAGGGTGCCAGCGTGCGGACACCCAGCACCTGGTATACGGCATCCGGGGAAGGTCATGCTGCCTTTGGCCAAGGTCAAACTCCCTCCAAGCCAGAGCACAGGTCAGTACCAGCAAGGGAGGAAATGGGAAAGGCGGCGGCCTTGGCCAGCCCAGGGAGGAGGCATGTTGAGCTCCCTGCACTGAGGGCCACCCATTGCTGGAAACCATGTTCTCACAGAATATTTGTGGGACTGGCATCTTGGGGTCGTGCCCCTAGGGAGTTCAAGGCCACTGGGTGACCAGAGAGGGAATAAGGAATTTCTAAACCCCTGCCCCTGCCCTTCCCCTGTCGCAGGTCCTGGGGACTCCTCACTCCTCACTGTTCCCTCCAACACAGCTGGCATTTCCCGACGGGCTGCCCGGGGCCCCCGCCTGGCTCTCGGCACAAGCACCCAGGGCAAAGACGGATGTTTCCGGCATACCTGAGGGGTATGGAACAGCCCTCCTGCCCCCAAGACTGGATGGGGTGGAGCCGAAAATGGGAGATGGCGGCTGGGTAGATGGGGGTCCCCTGCTCCTGAGAGCAGGAGCTCAGGAACTCAGAAGGCTGGGGATCCTGAGAACCGGGAATTATGAGGGTGTCTGCCCAGCACCTCCATGCTTTCGGTGCCACTGGGGACGGGAGGCGAACTCAGGAGGCATGGCCAGAATGACGGGACTTCCTGGCCTCCCAGCTCTGGATAGAACCCTGTTGCCAAAACCCCATAGAGACCTGTGGCCGGACTCAGCCTTGGAGATGGGAGGGGTAAGGGAGCTGTTTGTGGGATGGGGCCCCTGGGCCCAGAGCTGGAGCAAGGAAGGCATCCTGGATGGCTGGGGAAGGAGCGGACAGTCACTTCGCACATACTGTGGCTGGGGCAGAGGAGGGAATCTGGTTTTGTTACTTGGCAGTGTAACAATAAAATGCCATGTGGGTCTTGATGGTTCTGTTGGAAATGAGACCTTGTATGGAATGTGGAGCGGCCATGACTGATTAAGAGGCAACCCAACGCCATCCTCCTCCCTCCCCAACACCCCATCTCCCTCTGGCTGGTTACACAGATACCTGAACACCTGGGGGAAAGGGGCTCTTCTCTACACTGTGCCCAGGAAAGGTGGGCCCGACAAGGTCCATTCAATCCCTGTCCCACCAGCCTTCACACCTGCCTCGGCCCCCTCCCATGAGAGCTCAGAGACCTTGGGAGGCTCAAACCATAGAAAGCCTAATTACCCGAATGGGGGTGGGATGGTGGTCCCCTCTGGAAGTCAGGGCTCAGAAATTGCCCAGCTAAGTAAGCCTCTTGGCTTCAAGGTAGGAAAACTCCGGCAAGGGGTCCTGGGGTCCCCCAGTTTTCCCAGGCTGGCCCATTAGGTTGCTCTTACCTGCTGTGTTCTGTGTGGGGGTGGGGGATCCTCGGGAAAAGCTAATGAAAGATAAGGGACCCCCACACCTGTGGGACCCTCCTGGGGCTGTTTTAACCTGGGAGCTGGGTGGTTCAATCATCCCCTCGGCTCTCTGAGCATCGCTTTATTCCAAGAGCGCTGCCTTCAAGACAGCTGCGAAACCAGCTCCTGAAACCAGGCACCTGCTCGACCACCCCTCCCCTGGCCTCCACCCCAGCTCCAAGACCACCAGCACCTGGCCACCCGCGGGGGTCCAGGGTTGCACCTCCATTCATCACACACACACACACCCCAGACCCCGGGGCGGAGGCACCAACGCCAGGTCTCTGTTTCCCACTCCCGCGGGGTGCCCGCCCGCGCTTGGCTACTTGGGGGTCCGGATGAGGGTGTGGTAGACGGGCTTGACGATGAGGTGCAGGTGCAGGGCGTTCTCCACCAGGTACTCCGAGTTGCGCCGCTGCAGGTCCGCCTGCGCCAGGAAGTCGCCCGCCTCCTCGCTGCTCTGGTGGAAGCTGTAGGCGTGGCGGACCAGCAGGCGGCCGTGCTGCCGCGCCCCTACCAGCACCGTCTTCTGGAAGCTCACGCCCGCCGCGTCGCCACCGCTGCTGGCCGGCGTGACCACCAGGCGTGGCCGTCCATCCTCAGGGCGCGCGGCGGGCAGCGCGGTGCCCGCCGTGTCCGCGTAGACGGGCCGCAGGCTGACGGGCAGCCAGCGCGGGGAGAAGAGCACGTTCCACGTGACCCGGCGGCCCGCGTCGTGGCCGCTGGGGCCCAGCTGCGTCTGGAAGCTGGTGCTGCGGTCGTCGCGGGCCGGGTTGTTGATGACCCACGGGGCGCCCCAGGCGGGCGCGAGGTAGTTGCGGGGAAGGAAGGCACTGCCGTTGACGTCGAAGAACTTGGCGAAGTGCAGCGGCGAGGCGGCGTGGAACTGGTAGGCCTGCAGCAGCAGGTCGGCCACCGCCTCGCCGTGGCGCGCCAGGGCGGCTGAGCGCGCCTGCAGCTGGAACAGCTGCGCCGGGGGGATCATGGGGTAGCGGATGGCCCGCAGCGCGCGCTCGGCCACGGCGGGGGACGGCCGCGTGCGGCCCAGCCACGCCTCGAGCGCGTGGAACAGCTCCAGCTCGTCCTGCAGCACCAGGTCCGAGCGCGGCAGGAGCTGCGCCAGGAGCTCGGGGCTCACGGCGCCCCACTCGGCGCTCGCCGCCACCGCTGACAGGTTCCAGGCCAGGAACTGCAGGCAGCTCTGGCGCAGGGCCTCATCCCCGGTGCTCACCGCGTAGTGGTACCAGCCCACCGCTGGGCCCGCGCCGCCCGCCAGGTGCGCGCGCATGTAGTCGGCCACGCCGCGCTGCAGGGAGGCCACGCCGTACTTGGTGGCCAGCCTGTGCAGGGGAATGGCCTGGGCCAGCAGCACCGTCAGCTCCCCGCAGTAGAGGTACCTGCGGGAGGGGCGCGCAGAGATGGGGCGGGGTCAGCTGTGCCAGCCCCCCCCCCCAACACACACACACACACAACCCAGAGGGGACCAGGCCTTGGGTGGAGAGCACTATGGTTGGGGATGCATGCGGAGCAGTGGGCCCTGAGGCTTCCTGTCTTCGTCTCAGGGACCGTTTCTCGTGCTCACTGGAAACAGCATGTTACTGAGCATCTACTAGAATCGGAGCTTTGGGCTGCCAGATGAAGGAGGCTCCTGCCCTCCTGGGATTTACAACCCAGGCTCAGATCCGTACCCTACTTGCAAGTGGGCAAGTTGTTTAACTTCACCGAAGCTTATGCTAATCATCTGGGAAAGGGGGTAACAGGGTCACTGTGACAGGTGGGGGAGGATGAACTGATCTCGCCATGAAGCAGGCCATCGACACAGGGTAATTCCCTCCACGTCCTCCTCTTCTCCAGCTCATCTTTCTCACTGGATCTTGTCCGTTGTGGGTTTTGCTCACTCACTGCCCGTCCCCATCTGCTCCCATCCCTGCACTCACGCTTCCTGCCAGGCCCCCACAGGCACACGCTCCCTGGGGGTGTGCCAAGAGCGGCCCATAGCAGCACCAACACCCACGTCTCCCCTTGCCCCAGCATTTTAGCCCCACTATTTGCCTCTGGCAATAAGAGATGGTTCTCAGCCTCTCTTAGAGTGGGCATGGCCATGTGACTAAATTCTAACCATCTGATGTCAGCAGAGGCACCCCGTGGGGTTGAGGGAAGGCTACTTGCATAGATCTGACTAGTGGGGAGAAGACCCCGTGCTCTTCTGTGTTAACCCTCATCCTACAGCCTGGAATTCTGAAGCCATCTCGTCTATACCATTAAAACACGGGCACCTGGGTGGCTCAGCTAGTTAAGCGTCTGCCCGGGGCTCAGGTCACAACCCCAGGGTCTGGGGATGGAGCCCATGTCCGGCTCCCTGCTCAGCGGGGATCCTGCTTCTCTCTCTGCCCCTCCCTCCTGCTCTGCTCCCTCTCTCTCAAATAAATACATAAAAATATTTAGTAAATGAATAAACCATCAAAACAGGGCTCCTTTCTCTGACGATAGTGTGAATGGCGCCCCTTGTGCAGCCCACCGGCTGGGAGCAGGGGATGAGAGAGACAGAGCTGCTTTACCCCCACCCGGCCCTGAGGTTCAGAATCCTGGCCAGACACGAAAGCCACATGGAGGCATTAAAATAAAAAATTAATCATTAACTAATTAAAAAACCAAATCACTGCAGGGCCCAACCCCAGACCTGATGCCAATGATGCAGAACGGGGTCCGGGAATCTGCATTTTTGAAAAGCGCTTAAGCCCAGATTTGGAAACAGATCTGAGAGCATCAAAGGCCCCAGGGCTCGCAGGCGAGGGCAGGGAGTCCCGCTGCGTCTCAGGAGAAGGCAGCGGGAGGAGGGATGGTTATAAGGTCGTGGGTCCGTCATCCTGATGAGGTCGGGGGGATGGACATGATGTGAGCGGAGAAGCCAGGGTCTCAGAAAGGCAGGAAGGCTCCCCCGCACTCCTGCCCACCTGATGAACTTGTCGAAGACGGCGGCACAGTCCCGGGGCTCCTGGAGCACCAGCTCACTCTGGTTGCTCAGCAGCTCCCGGAACAGCTCGCTGTGCAGGCCCAGCAGCAGGCGGTGCGTGTGGAAGACCCGGACCTCATCGGTGCCCGCCGCCTGCACCCGCAGGACCACGTCGCTGGCGTTGCCCTGCCGTAGCAGCTCCTGCAGGCGCTGGAGGAGCGTCTGGGAGTGGTTGATGGAGGTGCCCGTGGACTCGCCGCCCACGTCGGCTCTCTGAGCTGCAGCAGGAAGGGATATGGCCCGGCTGAGGAGGGCCCTGGGTTGGGGGTGCCAGCCAGGGGTGCGGAGGGACCAGCAGGAGATGCGCGTACTCGGGCGCAGGCCCGGGGAGGCCGCGTGCCTGCCTGTCTGTGCCCGTGGGGCACGCGGAGGTGTGCATGTGTGCACAAGCTCTTCCCAGGTGGGGAAGCTTGTCAGCCTGACCCTGAGCAGCCCCCCGAGAGGATGCTCTTGTAAGGGGAGTAGCTTCCTGGCGAGAAGAGATCGTGAAGCAGTGTGGGACAGAATGCCCAGAACTGGTGTCCATGATGCCGCGGCACCAGGCGAGGGCTGTGGCCCCCGTTCCTCTCACCTCCCGAGAACAGCACCCACCAGCTCCTTTGATGGGCATCAAGTGCACAGATAAGCACCCTAGTTTGGGATCATGATGAATAAGGGATGTGATAGGACAGGGCTACTTGAGGGACAGAAATCAGGGATGGCTCCCTGAGAAAGTGACAGGAAAGAGCCAGCCAGAGGACAGGAGCCAGCCCTGTACAGGCCCTTGAAAAGGATGGGTTGGAGGTGCTGAGGCATTGAGAAGGCTGGGGGGGGGCGCAGAGCACTGAGTGAGGGTGGGGGCGAGGCAGAGGGGGAAAGGAGGCTGCAGGCAGGAGGGGAAGCTTCTTCCAGGCCCAGCTGCCCTCCTGGGTCCTGACCTCTGAGACTGAAGTCCACTGGCAGCAGGGGGCGGGCAGGGGACCAGAGAAAACACCGAGGGTGAGCTGGTGCTGGAAGGGGCCTCCCAGGGCACCTGTGTGTCGAGACTGGGCCCTTCTGTTGTGTTTCTAGGGACGCCGTGAGGGTCAG